ACAGTGAGGTACAATCAGGTCAATTTCTATTTGGATAACAGGAGTGAAGGGGTAATATTAGACCGTCAACACACCAGTCATATTACTAACTTCTCCCTCAGCACAGGGGACACAGTCAAAACAGCAGATGGGTTCCCCCTTTCTCCTGGTGATGCGGGAACCTGGAGGACAACTTTTGCTGCATACAGACCCAGATGCCTGAGAGGCAAAGTTCAGCCACTCAGAAAAGCACTGATTTCAATCAATATGACTATGCAGTTCTGTGACTGGTTTCTGGAGCTTCTATTTCAGATACAGACTAAAAGTAAAACTGAATCTAATGTGACAAAAAAGGTGTTTTACAGCAAATACAATTCCTAATAAGTCATTAACAGGGTTACACAAATGGGGTAACTGTTACACAAATTCTGAACTCTTATGATCACCAGATGATCAACAAAGAAATGCTCATGCCTTTGTGAGATGTAGCACCATAATTATTAACATTATACAATACCCACTAACAAAATATTATATCTCTTAGAAACATAATTACTGCATCTTTAACTGTAATGTGACATATTTTAAATATTTTAGAACATTAAGAGCTGTACTGCAATATAATTAATGGCTTCATATTTTACTCTAGAATTTTACTCTGTAATCACACAGCTACGGCCTAGTCATAAATGTAGCTATCAACATGGAACACTTTAATTAGAAATTATCACAGTACTGAGTAATTAATAAGGTTTATATTCACGGCATTCATATACAATTGATGTCATCTTGAGTAGGTTCTATTTGAAGTTGACATTTTCTATTGTTAGTTTAACAACAAAGCATATTGCACACTAATAACAACAACTTGGCAGATGTGTTGATCAGCAGTGCATACAGCAGTCTAAGAGGTGAACATGGTCTCAAGCCTGTTTGCAAAGAACACACCTGCTTCCCAACAGGCCACTGGATCACTGAGTCATTTATGACCAGGCCATGCCTGGTAGGCGACGAGGCATCATAGAAGCCTACTTTAACCAAATGCACTGAACCATCAGGCCTCTTCTGCCAGTTCATGAGATCATAATAAGCACTAGGGTCACCATTTTGATCCATGATGACTTTCTCTCCCAGTGCATAAAAATTAGCTTGTTTCATGTAATGGATAAGCTGAGGAAGAAAGGAAAAAAGATTATAAAGACTTTGACTTCTTTGTGCCACTTAAATTTTTTATTTAAAAATAATATTTAGCCTGCAATTAGTCTCACCTACCAAGGGGTCATGTGTGAAAAAGAGCTCATATGCTCACAAATGGCCTGACAGTGGCCGATTACTGACCATCAGTTTGGTGTGACATGAGGTTTAAAGGTCCTGCTGTGGCCACATCCTCTGAATGCCAGGGGTGAGAAGAAGGTCCTATAAGGCAGGAGAGATGCAGACTTCTGCCTGTATGCGTTGTCTTTAGTGCTTATAATGTTTGGGAATGCCATGGCAGTTGCATGACACAGGTTAGCACTGAATAGCCTGGACACAGTAATGTCTGAATGAACCCCATCAAGTTTAAAGAGGTCTTTACAGTTTCAAAATATATTAAAGTTCTCAACATATTTTAATCCCATGGGTGAGACGTGCTGATGCACAAAGCTCCATACACAAGCTCACCCCCCTTTATTAGTACCATTCATGGATCTGGTCCTGACCAGAATGTGCTATATAAATAAACTTGCCTTTCCTAACTTATAAGTTAAAACAGTCTGAAGACCTTTAAATTGAGTGATGATGTGATAGACCTCATCTACATTATATAAAATATGATATATATTCAAGCACTCAATGTAGATATATAGACTGCAGCACTAAAATGCAGCACCAAATAATGTATATGAACAAGCTACATGTACACACATTGCCAAAAAGGCTGCATGACAATGCACCCCAGTGTATCAGCTTGGTATTCTTCAATTCTGCAGTTGATAAACTGTCATAGAAGCACTGAAATAACTTTATGATAACTTTTCAGGACACAGTCTTTAGTGCTGCAGTATTCAGGTCTGGAAGCCTAAAGTCTTACTGTTGTGACAGTTTTTTGTATTATTCTAATTCAAAACATTACAACTCAACATCACATAAAAGATAAAGCAGCAAAGGATAGTGGTTCTGTTTCAAGAATCAATCTTAAGTGATTACAAATATATTTAAGCGTTATAGTTTTTGCATACTTTATCAGTCTAATTTTAATGTAAATGATAGATTTTGTTGTCTGTGGTTAGAGATGTAAATGCAGAATTAATACCATCAATGACACAAAATATAAGTTTCAGAATTTGTGTCTGCACCCTCTATGTCTATTCTCTGTATGAGAAATTTGCAGTGAGGGAGAAATACCTCAATAACATCCATTAGCTCATTTAGAGCCTGCTGGCTCAGGACTATAGGGTAGAAATGAGTGTAGGCAGCACACACACTGTACTTCACTGACTCCTGGAGGAAAAGCTGGATTGCAAAGCGAGCATAGTCAGACTCCACACCAATGACTCCAACCCAGCTCCAGCCAAAATAGCTAACCAGGTGGGCCAGGGCTTTGATCTGGAAGGTGTCACTGGGCATTGTGCGCATGAATGTGGGGAACTCCTTTTGGTTACTCAGACAGCTGCAGGATGCGAAATAGCTCACCTAGTATTACAGCAAACAATAGTTACCCTTCTGGCTCACTGAAAAGGCTGTTGAACAAGCATCAAATTCTACCAAACAATACCCTCCTTTCTACATGCATTCAGTGGTGCCAAAACTCTGCATCTGACCTTTAAAAAACCTTTTGGGTTATCACAAAGCCTAAACAGGTTTTTTTTTCTTAGCTCATTAATGGGGGGAAAGCATCAACTTTGCAGCAGTATGGGATTTCATTAATATGAAGACAACTGATTTAACCTGGTAAAAAATACCAACATCATGACAACAAAAGTGCTCAGACAGTCAGGGTGTCTTACCAGAGGGATATGGAAAGAACCCAGGCTTCTTAGCAGAGCCATAGACACCCCAGAGGCAGCATCTCCTATGATAATAGGGGACATGGTTCTGTGTACAGCTGCGCAGCCTAAATTTGAATCATTCACGTTTCTTTCTACACCTTCGCCTCTGTCAACACTCTCGGCTCTGGAGCCGCTCGCTGGCTGGCCGTTCACCAACAGCAGCAATGCTCTCAGAGACACAGGTATGTCATCACAGCTGTCACGAATGTGAAAACCCAGCTTGAGCTGTGGCAGGAGGTCAATGCGCTGATTGATCTCTGTGATTGCAAAAGTCATGGTTTGCATCCAACGCAAGGCACGAGAGCTGAAACTGTACAGAAGTGAAAGCAGTTCATCACACAGCAGAAAAATGTACAATATTATAAACACAAATCCGGTAAGAAAAGTCACAATCTAAATGGAAACTGTGTATATTACACAAATTCAGAACTGCTGCACGCATTCAAATAATCACTTACTACTTATACATATTGGGGGTTGGTTTTGCTTTGTATGTTAGAAGAGAAGGCACAGGGCTGTAGTGTAGAGGGAATAAGCCCCCAATAACTACATCACCATCTTCATACAGACTGTTTTTCTCCTCTTCTCCCAAGAAAACACAGCTATCCAGAGTAGCAGCTGAAACAGGTGTGCCCCTAAAGAGAGACAAAAATATAAGAAGCTTTGCAGCCAGCAATGCCATGGCTGGCCTGGGTTTGAAGGAAAGGTCTGGCTAAGTAATGTTAAATATTTTAAAATCTGAATACTACTTGAGTAACTATTGTTCCTGAACATACAACTTTATATTTCAAGCCACAACTGATGGATATATTGCAGTTTGCACACATAAATCTGGGGGGGGGGGTTGAAGTAGCTGTGACATCATTAAAGGTAACGTCCCACATTATTAGGGTTGGGTGAATATAAAGTAGCCAACATGGGTGGAAAATATCTTAATCATCAGCCCAGAAATTATTAAAAAACACATTTATTTTACTGACATGATTTATATTTCTGTTGTTTGTTCAATTTGTGTGATTAGTTTGTTCAGGTTATACTAAATATAATGAAACTTTTAATGAGTGTATAAAATTATTTACATTTTTTTAATAGTTGTTTTTGTTATTATTATTGCTGTAGCATTCTGCCAAAGTCAAATTGCTTTCTAGTACAACACACAATCACTGTAGACTCTACATATGTGTAATTATATACAGTATGTGTAAACAAAAGAAAATGGCCTTGAAGCCCCAAAAGGAGATTTAGATTGCAGTAAAATACCAGCTGTAAAAAAGGGAAAGAAATAAAAGTATGCCTATTCACAGCTGCTCCACTGGAAAGTGGAGTGAAGAGCCAGCTGTGACAAAGAGAGAGGAGAGATGTGATATTGCTTAAAAATGGCAGCATATTTTCAGTCTTTTCACAAAATTAAGTGAAGTGGGTGTGAATGTTGGATTGTCTAATTTGGATTCTTGGAAAGTTAAAGAGCCAGAATTCCAAAGGAGTTCTTTATGATCATTTTTACAAGCAAGCCTGCTCCTCAAGATTGAAACCTGTAAAAGAGAAACAAATGCATAGTATTATTACTCAAAGCATCCTATAACAAATTGTTTTAGTATTGTACCCCTTAATTGTGGTATCAGTGTTTAAAAATGCCAGTTTAACACAAAGTAGCAAAAGTACAATTTAATAATAAACCCACTTTGGAATGGCTTCAGATGGTTCACATGCAGAGGGAAGGCTGCATCTCCAACAATGACATGTGGTATTTTGATGTTTTTCCCAGGAAAGTTAGCAGGTGGAGGGAAGTCCAGTCTGCCTTCTAGTAGTGCTCTGCCGAAGTGACTCTCCTGAAAAACACCTCCATCACTCTCTCGTCCGTTAACATGACCACATCAACCACAGTGAATTTGTAGTGGGCATCACACGTATTTAAAATACTCACTGCCAGAATAAGGTGGTGCTTTAATTTGTACATGTTTTCTGTCAATTGCTCTGAAATAGTTTTGAAAATTCTACAGTCTACAAAAGTCTGCTGCAATGTCTAGGCATTGCCATTGTTTGGGAAGGACACAAATTCATCCTGTGTTGCTTTCAAGATGGCTTGGCAAACTTCAGTCAGCATTAGGGCAGAGACACACCAAGCCGATGTGAAAGAACTAGTGTAGATGTAGGCCAACTGTTGCATTGCTACACATTGCTTTTGTCTGGGACAGTCAGGTCAAAAAAGTGGCACTTGAACACATCACACAGACTACAGCCAACAGCCGACCAGCACGTACATTCTGTGCCTGCATGAGAGAAAAAATTCTCCCTGGCAGTATCTGTATTCACCATTTAGAAGTGGAAAGAAGACAACCTAGGCAGCGGAAATACAAGTTGTAAACAAAGCAGCTCTCATTATACAGCTGCCGCTTATAGTTGCTTCTAATGAAGAATATGTCTGATAAGAAGTTGCAAATGACACTTTTTGCCCTTGGTCTTTTGGTTGTGGAAGAAGAAAGGAGGTTGTGAAGCAAAAAACAAGGAGAAACTGCATTAATGGGTGAAATCCTGGATACTACAGTGAAAGGCTCCAAAAGCTTTCCCAAACATTTCTCTGCATTGATTCTGTAAGCAGCCAATCAGAGTGGTCTATCTTTCTGACGAGGGCAGACACCTAATCAACATGCCAAATTGACTGAAAAGCTGCCAACAAGGTCAGACTAGTGCCAGTCATGAGTGAAAAAGAGCTCATATGCTCACAAATGGCCTGACAGTGGCCGATTACTGACCATCAGTTTGGTGTGACATGAGGTTTAAAGGTCCTGCTGTGGCCACATCCTCTGAATGCCAGGGGTGAGAAGAAGGTCCTATAAGGTAGGAGAGATGCAGGCTTCTGCCTGTATGTGTTGTCTTTAGTGCTTATAATGTTTGGGAATGCCATGGCAGTTGCATGACACAGGTTAGTACTGAATAGCCTGGACACAGTAATGTCTGAATGAACCCCATCGAGTTTAAAGAGGTCTTTACAGTTTCAAAATATATTAAAGTTCTCAACATATTTTAATCCCATGGGTGAGACGTGCTGATGCACAAAGCTCCATACACAAGCTCACCCCCCTTTATTAGTACCATTCATGGATCTGGTCCTGACCAGAATGTGCTATATAAATAAACTTGCCTTTCCTAACTTTAATTATGCTTCATTTTTTAAAATGGAAATAATACATTCATTTCAAAATTGCATCACTGAAATTGAAAAAGAAAAATAGTTCACTTAATAATTTATAAAGAGGAAAAACTGTGCTGCTTAATTGATTTTTCTGGTCTGATAACACATATATACTAAATGGTTGGGAAATAACCTAAAGGCTCAAGCTCTTTTCTCTCTCTCGCTCTATTTTTCAGTTTGTGCACCTCCCTTCTCTCACTCCACTTTGTAGGTAAACAGAGACAAAACACGAACACTCTATGCTAATCCACAATGTATAAATACCAGTGCAAATTTCTGATTTAATATTACAATACATGTGATGTCACCCAGTGGTTTAGTTCTCTCAGACAGTATGATGTCCACACAGTGGTGGCCAGAGTGGGGCTGTACACTTTTACAGCTGTTGTTGATGTCGTCCTTTTGCGCTGAGGAGCTGGTCTGCCGACAGAGAGGGGATCCTGAGAACCCCCAGCTATCTAAGGATGGAGACATTATATTAGGAGGAACTTTCTCTTTCCACTTCAGCTGGGAAGACAGACAGGAAACTTACATGCACAAACCACTGCCACTGGAATGTACCAGGTGAATTAAAGCATAGAAATCTATTTATATTTGAAAGATCTAAGAGGAACTGGGTACAGATTAAACAAGGTATAAACAAGTTTATCAAATTGAGTATTGAAATTGTATAATTTAAAAATGCAAATATTCCCTATTGTATTAATACCATCAAATTCTTTCATTTACTATACTATTGTTTTTGTTTCAAGTAGCTATTACTACTAATAGTACAACTGCTTAAAACTGTCTGCATCAAGTTTCAGTTTCAGAGAATTCCTGGTTGCCCAGGCTATGATTTTTGCCATTGAGGAGATTAATAACAGCACAGATCTACTACCTGGCATCTCTCTGGCCTATAAGGTCTATGATGACTGTGGTTCTATTAGCA